CACTTTTTCAACTAATTTTTACAGCAATTTGGCAAGAATGTTGTTTCTATTTTTCATGGTAAGTTTGAGGTTGAACAATAGACAATGATGGGTTATGTTACAGTACAACATTATAGGATTATATCATACAGGGTAAATGTAGTTTCTCTTAATTTGGTGCATTGGGGTTGGAGCAAGTGGTGAGGTTTATTTCCATCTTTTAAATAAGCTACTACGAACAGATTTCTCCTAGACATCTTGGGTCTCAAGGGTTGTCCTAAGATCTTGGGACCCTTTTGTAATCTCCTACAAAATTGGAGTTGTGAGATTGTTCAATGGTCTTAAATGGTGGTTGAGTAAGTAATGTGTGAGATTGGTCGTTCAAAATATCCAATAAATACCCAAACTTTATAATAATATATGTATATATATATATATATATGCATGTTGAGAAGTTTGATGCATGATTTTATGATTTAAGAAACACCTGGGCTGATCACTTGTTTAGTAGGATCTAATATATATTATTATTTCTAAAATTCACAACAACCTAATAATCATGTATTTAAAGTATCATCATCAGAAAGAAATGCACTCAGCCCCTTTATGATTGATTAAATTATTATTTCGACATTAAATTTTCCTATCTATTCTCTTTTATGTTATAATGTCACCTAAAAAATGTTGTAACAGCGATATATATATATATATACATAGCAAAATATTGTCAGATAATATCTTGTAATTCTTTCTTCTTTGATTCTCTCGCTGTTCTAAGAGCAAGCTTTCCATATCATGAGCTTGAAATCAATAAGCTCGGTCCAACGAGTGAAACGCTTAAATCGCTCTTTATACATGTATTCAAAAGGAAATGAAGGCATGTATAAGGAAACTAATATAAGCTTTTCAAACTAATATAAGCTTTTCAAACTAATATAAGCTTCTCTGAACAAGAAAAAAAAATGAAACGCCTCTTCTACAATTGTCATCTTATCCGGCTATGTACACATTGATCTTTACAACAGAGTAGATAAAAGCTAGCAGTGGATCTACAAATGGGTGGCATACAATGTGAAGTCACTACAAAAACTTGAGTGGTCACAAGTTGTGTTCAAATTTGGATAGGTTGGTTGCTAAAATGATGGCTAGAAGGATTACCGGACATCCACCCGATCTTTTATAATTCTCTCCTCTTGAATCTCTTCCAAGTCATCTTCCCCTTTCCTGCCCGCTTGCTCTTTCCAGTACGCGACCAGTTTTTTCAAGCGAGCTACCTCTTTTGAGGAAACATTTTTGCTCGGGTCATTTACAATTGACCGTACTCTTGATGCATACCTGTATTGACATAAAAATTGCAAGTTATTATGACTAACTAATACTTAATGTGCAAAAACCATACAACATAGCTAAAGAATGAAAACAAGTTACTCTGTTCCAATAAATGCTTATGACAAGAATGAAATTAGTTCAAAAACTTGTTCTAGATCGATAGGAGATCAATATGAAAAGCAAGTTATCTATGGTCACAAATTCATGGTTTGCATTTCAGTCAATTGAACAAAATTGTGTATGATAAATCAGAAGTAAAGTTGAACAAAATAGATAACATACATCAAAGAATTGTATGTCTCGTCCAAATTTGACTCTGCTGGAGATACGTTAACGAACATTAAGGTTTTGGCATTACCACCAAGAGAATCGCTCATTAACATTGTTAACTTGTGATTCCTGTAAGGAATATGCTGACCACCAGCAGATAAGGAGCCAATAACATCTCCAAGTGCTGACAGTGATTTATTGATACTTTGAGCTTCCTTCAGTTGGGAGCCTGATGAGCCCGATTTCTTCACCCTTTCTGACCCAGCCAGATCAACAAAACTTAACTGCACATGAGAATTCAAATTTATTGAACAAGAAACCAACATAAATGACAAGATTTGACATAACACAATATCTTGCAAGCATTCTTTCTTCAAACCATCACATCTTTGAATGTAAAATAAATATTTGATTGCTTTTTTTTTAACTCTCATGAAAAACATATTAAACATGACCTCTACAAAAATAAAATATGATTAAATGACAATAATATATTCTCTTACGACCGATTGACTCTCAAGGTTGGTGCTGCCCTCTGTAAGATCATCTTAAAGGGGATTATATGCAACCATCCTTATCATGAATGCATGATTCTTTTGATTTTGTAACATTCATCTATAAACATGTCATTTCATAATTGGATCAAAGATAACACACTATAAAACAACAAATAATACCTTTCCCCTTGCAACAGACTGAGTTTGAAGGTTGGTACTCTCAATAACAATTGAAAGTATTAAATGTGACCTTGAGCTTTCCTCGTTCATTTGTGTCTCAGATATGTGTCTTTGTTCAGATCCCTTTTCAATAATACCTTTTAATTCATCATATGTTGAAACTGAAATAACCGTCACATTTTCTACAAACACCATGCCCTAAACATTACCGAGAAGACAATAAATGAGAACAAAAAAATGAAAATTCTACCTAGCAATAGGTCCATAATGTTTTAGATTTAGTGCCCTGAAATCTAAAACATTAACTACATTACAACTCTTACCTTAGAATCTTTTTTAATATCCAATTTCAAACGCTTTGCATTCTTCGGTAGTAAAAGGTCCATAAGTGTATCTTGATACAATTCCACCATATATGCCTGTAACAGTCTATAGATTAATATTTGGGTACTGACAATTTTAGCAAAATAATAATAGTAATAGCAATAATAATAATAGTAATAGTAATAATAATAATAATAATAACAACAACAACAATAATAATAATAATAATAGTGATGATGATAATAATACTAACAACAGAATTCCTCAGAAAAGAAAAAAAAAAGAAAGAAAATGTGTGACATAAATTACAACTTTACATATAATTGATGGTATATAGAACAAGACAAGAAAGAATCTATATTTTTTTGCTGGATAAAAGAAAGAAGCATTTCTAGTTTAAGAAATTTGTTCAACATGGTTGACTCATTAATTGTCTGAACATTATATGATGTCAACTGATACTTTATGCTTAATGAAAAAAGTTCTAAATACTGAATATACTAAAATCAATACCTTCAGTGAAAATGAGAATCGTTTACTATCTCGCTTCAAAATTTTGAAGAGCTCTCCGATGGCCCTTGGTGTTAGCCCAGGATTTTGTTCAGATCCATATATTGTGAATGTCTTTCCAGAACCAGTTTGGCCATAAGCAAATATACAAACATTGTAGCCATCCACAGCAGATTGCACTAAATACTGTATAAAAATGCGTCGAAGAAAAATTGATAATTAGAGAGTTATTAACACTTCTATCTTTACTATAATAAGCAATGATACTAATAAGCTACAAATCACCAAGTCAAATCGCACTTGCCTTTGTATCCTCAAATACATCTTCTTGAGTAGCATTACCATCAAATACACGATCATATATGTGTTGTTTTGTCTTCTCATCCTTCCATGGATGTTCAACAGTGAATTCATCAGAACCCATTAGCACTTGTCTTTCTTTTTCAACAATCTCTTTATTGTTTAGAGGTCTTAAGCGACAAAAAACTCGAATCTTGCCCTTCATGTCTAACATAGTTAACAGAGAATTATGACTACTATTAGAAAAAGAAATACCACATGATATAGTGATGGTACATGAAAATAATTATTTCAATACATATTAGAAAAAATTCAGTCATACTGACCTTCTATGGTATTAAAATAACGCTTTCTTAAGATTTGTTCTTCCTTATATAGAGCTTCAAGCTCGACAAGTTGGGCCCCTTGCATCTTTAATATGGCAGCAGTTTGCTCATTCTTTCTATCTATGTCCTAAGCATATGATAAGTAGGAGAAAAAATGTGCCTCGATTAATGACTTTTATCAAGGAATAATATACATGAATGAAAATATATTTTTACAAGAGAAGGTAATACCATACATGTCAGGTAATACGAGAAAATAGTACGTCAATAAAGAGAAAGTGAACCATCAAGATTATACCTCTTTCATTTCTCTCAACTCTTCTAGTTCTTTTAAATTATTCTTCAGTGCAGCCAAATCTGCATCCTTGGTTGCAGCAGTTGACTCAGCATTAACCAAGTCTTGTGTGACCTTGTCCAACTTCTTTTCGAGTTCAAACAACTGAATCTTTAAGGCTTTACATTCTTGTTCATGTTTCATCTCAAGACCATCCATCTACATTTTAAAAGCATTCTCTATGTCAATTTGGTCATCTACAAATTTTTGTCTGTGCAACTAAAATACATAATAAGAATATTACCTCAATTTTCTGTTTTTCAAGCCTAGAGATCTTCTGCTCTAGCATAGAATTTTCATTTACCAATCTTGCAACGTTCTCTTCTGCTGTCCGCAATTCTTGATTGCAAAGCCTTAATTCATTTCGGAGTTGATGCAACTCCTGATTGGCAAAATAAGTGGTCAATTGTAAAATAAATGAACCAAACCAAATACCACAAGTAAAACCAAAAAAAAAAAAACATTAAACACTTCCATGATATAACATTCTTTATAATGAATAAAACCTGGCTATTTGCTGCAGAAGAATCTTTATTGACATGGTTATGCAGTGCTATATTACTCAACTTGTCTAACCTTGATTCCATGCTTTGTTTCTCTAATAGCATAGACTAGAAATAATTACAAGACAAATGTCAATACACAAGAAATGTGAATAAACAGCGTAAATTCGACAAACTAAACATACTAACTTGAAGAGCTGCATCTTTCTCATTACACAACGATTTGAGTCTATCACAGTCACATGTAATCTCTACTAACTTCTGGTTTTCAAATTCCAAGGAATCCTTTAAACCTTCCAAGTCTTCTTGCATTTTAATTTCTCGTTGTTGTTTTTCATGCAACTCCTCCAATAACTACACCACAATGGTTAATTTAGAAAGATAACAAGATAAATATTGGTATTATAATGGCTTGGTCAAAATTTGCTTCATATTAAGCTTTTCTAATTACTTCAGTACATGCATTCAATCATTAAACACAGTCCTTAAGTTCAGAAGACACTTTCAATATAAGCAGCAAAGTGAAATTACTCAACAACTGCAAATGTACAAAAGGACACTACGAAAGAAGCTCATTCAACCAGTACCACATATCTAGTGTTTTACAGCCTACTTCCCGTTTTAGAAGTGTCTTTCAGCTTACTTGGTCAGTTTTCTTTTGTGTTTCCTCTATAGTCTTAGACATATCCTGCAAACGTTTCTCATACAGTTCCATATTTGGAGTCCTAAAATTGTTAGAAATATCTCCATTCACTGAGCCGCTGGCAGCAGACCGAGCTTTAGAGTAACGACGCAACATGACATCATTTATATGTGTTTGTAAAGCAACACAGATCTCTTCTCCCTGCATAAAATCAATTAGTAAATAAAAATATACAACCAAGTAATCCTGAAAAGCTGAACATTAAGATTGATAACTTAAATAAAAAAAATGCTGTTGAAACCTGTTTAGTTTCAAACTGAAATATGTGAAGAACACCCGCCACTCTCATCTTGAAGAAGACAGCAGTATTGCTACTACCGAATTGCATTATGTCTCTCAACTCGGCCGAATGTAGATACTCCTTCGGAACAGGACGGAAAAAGTGAACCTACAGATAAGCAACAAACATCCCTGATGTTAAAATAAAATAGAAAATTTGTACAGACCACTAAGAATTCCTAATATAAAGGTGATATACAGTGTAAACACTCACCCCACGCTTATTAATGCCCAAAACAATCCTTCCTGGCAAAAGTCCAATGGGATCATCTATCTTACGAACACCAAAAAACACTGAATTCCCATATGGAAGGGTCCTTAATATCCGAAGAAATTGTTGCCTTGCATCATCTTTCGTCAAATTTTCCTAAATCACAATAGAAACCAAAAAAAAAAAATATTCACAAAAAACACATTCTTTCAAATGGGTATATAAAGTTAAAGAGAACTCAATAGATGAGAAAAGATCAACGATTAGATAAAACTACATTTTCTCACTCTCAAAAGTAATTGTCATAGCTTAAACCAGAATTATGAATGCTTATTGCAAACAAAAACTTTACCTTTCATGCTAATATAAAATAAATTTCAGGAAAAAGTAAATTTTAAAGTAGGAAATGACTTAATCTTCATTCACAGAAAACTTCATTAAGTTTTTACCATTGAATGGTAACGAGAAAGGATGTCCAACTCCCATTCACGCTTTGCTCGGGTAATCGCTATTTGTCTAGGTAAGAAACGCTCAAGAAGAGATGTCCAATCACTAAAAAATAATAAGTTAAGTTAGTAAAAATTGATGAAAGTAAGGGGGTAAGAAGTAATTGGTATTAGAAGGCTGTCAACCAAACAAAACAGCCTCCCAGAGGGGGATAAAAGGTGGGAACATCCAATTAACTATAGGAGCTAAAAGGAAATTAAAAAAAAATCAAGGTTATAAAAACTGGACAAAGATATGACCAATGACAAACTAGACATCAGCTTGAAAACATTTTCATTATGCTCAGGAATAACAGAAATTGAAACACAACTAGAAAAATGCAAAACACTCTCAATGTGGTGGACTGGAGTCAAGAGAGGCTAAGCACAATGAGAAAAAAAATAAGAACACTGACGTGCATGATTCTGGGTTACCAACAAATCCAATCTCAGCCAAGATTTGCAATGCAGAAAGCTGAGCAGCATCATCTCTCCCAACAGGATAATTTCCCATTATATAGTCATGCTGCAGCTGTAGTTTATCAAATGTCAACAAGTACAAAAACTACATGTAAGGATACAGATAAAAAACTATTATAAATAATATGTTATTACTGATCAAGTTTCATATTCATACTTGAACATAGGATAACTGAATAAACATGGGATCTGTTATAGCTTCATCTGACTCACGAAAGAGCTTTTTTTTAAATATCAGTTTGCAGTGCAAAATTTCTCCTTTGCTTCTATCCTTGGCAGCCTTAAATTCTGCCAATAGGTCTCCAATATACTTGTTATCGTCTAACCCGATATACTCCTCTGTATGATAATAATTAGTAATCTGTTGACTACTCAGATAAATGTGTATTACATATAATAAAGAAAAAAAAAAGGATAAATACCATTTCCTGGATCAGGTGACTTGGAACCGGAAACAACTTTACGACATTCAAACAGACTGAAGCTGGAATATGCAGATAACTTAATTATCCCAGCAAGCTCCTGAAGCATCCATGCATTACATTAAGATAAAAAAATTTAAAAACTGATTAAACTAAATAGCAAGGTCCAATAAAAATTCAATGAAAGAGAGAGATAAACCAGAAAAGTATAAATAATCATTCCTTAAAAACAGTGGATTGACTTATAATTTCGATGAAACTAATCATGCAAAACTAGGACAACATAATGGCATCCATAAATCGATAGTCATGGCTCAATTCCTTTAACCAAGACGCAAAAAATGGATAACCATGATAGCAGCAGTAAGTGAATGCCCTGTATAGCTACAAAATATGTAAAGAACGATTGAATGTATATTTTATTAAATATTACAATCCTATATATATAAGTTTTCTAGAATAAAAAAGAAATAAACCATTAATTATATTAATTACATAGGGCATATTTTACCCCGATATCCTTTAACCTAATTACATACTTTTTTTTAGATAAATAACCTAATTACATGCTCTCTTTAACACTCCCCTCCTGCTGGGGAATAGTAGATATTAACCACCCCTAGCTTGCCAATGATACTTTGAATTCTGAATCACACAATACTTTTTAGTCAACGCATTTGCAAGTTGTGAGCTAATCAGCATCTACAGGGTACATATTAAGCCACTATCTAACTTTTCTTTGATGAAATGTTTGTCAACTTCAATATGTTTGATTCTGTCATGTCGCACTAGATTATGAGTAATGTTTATAACCAATTAACTATCATAATATAGGCGCACGGGTCTGCCCCACTTGATTTTCATATCTTTTGAAATTATCTTTAGTCATAATACTTCATATACTTCTTGAGGCATTGCTCGGAATTTTGATCTGCATTTGATCTTAAAAATGTATTTTGTTTCTTACTTCTCTATGTAATCAAATTACCCCCAAAAAAGGTATAGTAGCCCGTGGTAATCTTATGTCCACCACTGACCTTGAGCAATCTATATCTGTATAGATTTCTACGAGTAACTTATCATTTTTTCTGAATATTCTTTCCCAAGGGGCCCTTTTAGGCAATGCAGCATTCTATAGGTTATTTGTAAGTGTACTTCTTTAGGGTTATACATGAACTAACTTATAACACTTACTGTATAGGAAATATCAAGTTTTGTAAGATAGATATATCAACCTGGAATCCAACCAATTTTGATACATCTTTTTGTCTACTGTTATATCCTCTTTACCAGTCCTAATTTATGATTGGAATCGATAGGAGTACTAACTAACTTACATGCTAGTTTGTCTGTATCTCTTGACAAGTCATGAATGTATTTTTGCTGGAAGATAAAGATCTCTAATTTTGATGACCATGGGATGGTCACCTG